CAGGTTTTTTTTGTGTGTGTGTTTGTGTGTCAAAAATAAACCTAATAAACCTAACTAAGCTCAAATTATTTTATTTCAGAGATAACTGGAACTTCGCATTAAGCATCAAGGCCAGGTGATGAAGTTCCTAGTAAGTTCCTAAGTTTGACACGTCCCAAGTTTTGTGATTCAGTTCTAGGGGTTTCAGAAGATTGTTTTTAAAGCTTTTAATATACAAACACTAATATAACAAAGTGCCATTCCTTCTGGCACCTTTCTCCTCAACAATACACTCTGCCCTACTCGCAGACAAGCAGTGTTGTCTTACACCAATGAACACACATACAGTAAGGCATCTGCAGGTGAGACTGTGTGTGAGAGTTAAAACTTTAATGTGTTAACAGGAACAGGAAAAGCTGCTAATTATTGTCTCAAAAGGTAACTGGCGCTCATCAGAATCTGTTCCTGTCACATTCGGCTTTAGCATACCAAGTTCAAAACCTACATCTCCCAAGACATTAATTTTCAAGTCAGTGCTACAGTTAAAACAACAACAACAACAACAAAAAAAAATGGTTAGAACCAATGACACGTAAAAACCAAAACTAACACAGTAAATCCCAAACTAACAAATATCAGTTTAACACCAATGACTCCAAAGTCAAAGCCAATATTCTCTTTTGGATCAGGATACATTTGGCTTTCTTGTAAAGATATGAAATCTTATATAAAATCTGTCTTATGTACTATAGTATGTTCAGTATAACAAAGCATTACTTTTCCACTTCATCTAGATTTGATTTTGGTTTTACCAAATTTTATGGCCAGAGGAAAACAAGAGGAAAAAAAAATGCCTACGTCCTTAATTTGACTTCGACTAACCAAAGATGATTGATCATACTTGACAAAATAAGAGTAAATTGTTAAAAATATTTACCGACTTGTGATTCTTTTCTCTACTCCGTGCAAGTCATGTGACATTGGCGTTGTGGTAGTTTGTTAAAGATTTATTTAACAAGGTATTTTCGGTAAACTGAATAAAAAGCAACAGGCAGAAAATGGTATTCTAAACACACATCTGCAAACATAAAAGCAGGCACCATCTGTTGCATTAATGGCATCTGCACCGCAGATGATATGATTGATGTGGCACAAATCCAAACGAGCTCAACAAAAGTTCCTTCTGTTGAAAATAATCAGTGATGGTCCTGCGCTCTGTGAGTTTTAGAGCAATAACAGTCACTCGCAAAGGTTAAAAACCTCCAATTCAGTCTATGACTTAGTGTCACAAAAACATAAACATATCTGTTTGCTCATTTAGAGAGCCGCTTTTTGGATCTATCAAAAACGACAAGTAACGCATAAAACAACCAACAGATTGTGGTTCGGGATTCTAATCTGTTTATGTGTCATCCACTCAAAACCACCTCCCAGAGCGGTTAAAGTTGCTTTGGGGCTGAGGCCACAATTTGGTCAAGTGTAAATGAATGATGTGTCTGCACGAGCCACGTGCGCCCCTAGGCTCCTCCTAAGAAATTACGACTTCGACCACACTAGCAGAAACATAAACTGCCGCCTGCCTCAAATGAAAATAGAGTTATTTTCACAGGAAACTGTTGGGTTTATGCAATCTGACTTCTCCTGTGCAAGGGAAGGTGCTGCCAGGTGCGAGTATAATGCAGACACATGTAGATCACGATGAAGTGAACACTAGATGAGGCGAATATGATGAGTCTAGCAGGTTTTTTGTGGTCCCCAGACTCCTTCATTAGAGAAGCATGTGGATAGAGAGAACAGCTTTTTCAAACAGGAAAGTTTGTCCAAACAGTACAGACTTATGAACTGGAAGAATCGACGAGTGCTGGCTCAGTTTTTCCAGTTTGTTTTTGTTTTCAGCTTGGATTGCGGCTTGGGCAGCAAACCGCTTGGTGAAATTAAACGCAGGGAGGAAGGACCCTGTTTGGCTCGTGCGTGCGTATCATGCATGAATACACACATTGCACACATGCATGCAGAGGTCCAGCTTGGAGATGAAGAAATGAGCGCAGAGAGAGAGAAAAAAGAAAAGATGTTAACATTAATTGACTGGGAGATGTTTGTGGTATAAAACTAGTTATAATTGAGGTTTGTCATTATGAGGAGGAGTGTAATTTCAAGCTACAGAACTTTTTACTTGTCTTCCAACTGGAATCACTCTTTTCCATTTTCCAGCAATAAGCACGAGGGCCTCCAATCTCTACAAAGAAAAAAAAAGAAAAAAAAGCACATGCAGTACCCATGTGCCACAATCAAAGCAGAACTTGCAATTCAGCAAAATGAGTCCTGTTTTATGGATTCTGGCAGCAAAATGAAATGTAGCCTAGTCATATTTTTGCGCAGTATAAGAACCAGCTGTGATGTGAGGTTAAAGTTAGTGGACCTCAGACAGGGGCTATAGTTTTAGCATGGCTGAGAAAAGATTACCTCCAATAGGAATGGTATGCTAACTGGACCAAATAAACACTTTTATTGCTCAATATGTTGAACTTGTTGAAACGCAGATTTGAGGGATATCTCAGCAGAGACCTGCAAGGAGATTTTGAAAATATCACCGTGTGTGTACATGAAGTGCAGTGGGAACCCTTTGGCTGATGTTAGTGAGTAATGTTAACCTCATGGAAGAACTGTGTGACAATGGGTCCCAGGGCAGAGATGTGTCAAAGCCCCCTACTGACTCACTCATGTTAGTGAGACACCCAAACTGAAAGCAGGGCGTTGTTTGTGTTGTCATTTTGATTCTCCTTGCGGTCATTTTGGTCTCTCCGAGGCTGGTTTAACATCTTCTTGTGTTTATTTTGAGTCTTTTTTTGGGTCATGAGTTGTTTTGTTGAAGTAATTTTATCTCATTTTGTTGTGACTTCACATTTTTTTTAGTAGTTTCATAAGTTTGATCTTTTTTCAGCACCTAAGCATTTTCCACTCTCAGTTAACTGCCTCAAAACTTGAAAATGAACAACCTTGGGTACGGTGGCCAACAAATAATTCTAAAGTTCATCTAAAATGATCATCTGCTGTTGTCTCACGCTATATCTGTCATCATCAACTGTGACACACACCTTTCTTCTTCTCTGAGGTCTTCCTCTTTTACTCTATGGCAGCTCCATGTTCAACATCCTTTGTCAATTATGTCCCTCCTCTGCACATGTCCAAACCATCTCAGCCTTGCCTCTCCAAACGGCCCAACCTGAGCTCTCCATCCGATATACTAATAGCTTCTTCAGTGTACCAATAAACACTGATTATTTTTAGCTGCAGAAGCAGTAAAAATGACCCCTTCACTAAAAGTAACAAATGGCAACAGGTTGTATTAACACGGGAAAGGTTTGCAAGATTTAACAAAAGGTTTATTGTGTGGAGGGGAGGTGAGCCAGAGATCGCATTTGTCATGAGCAACAGGGAGTAACCAACAGTGAGCAAAGGAATGCCTCACTGTTGACAGAACAATATGGTAAGAATGAGTGGCAGGACCGGGGATATATATTCTGGAGTTCGATGATTAGTTGATTGAGACCATATGTGCTATTGCAGGACCTGTGGAAATCAGAGGAGTCCGCACAAACATGATATGACACTCAACACAGAGGCCCAGTTCCACTCTTACATTAGTGGCAAATCTAAACGAATTTTCAGTTGTTTCATTCACGTTTATTCACCAACAATGCTGCTTGAAAATAAACTTAGTAATCGAGTCAAAACTCCCTGAAAACGTTTCAAGCTCTTCTGCCCCCAAGTATTTGCACCATAGACTGTTGGCTTTATTATCATCGGTACATAATATAAAAGATGCACCAAATATATTACAATGAGTGTGACTGTGTGGATCAGATCCGGCAGAGATGCACCAGTTGAGATTTTCTTAGAACTGTGTTTTCTCAAATGAGATCAGATTTCATTTGACACTAAGGACCTGCTTTTTTCAGTGCAAGGTTTGTTAGCAAACGCACAACATGTCTGCTTTTCATCTATGAATAATGTGTTCTTTTTCCTGCCGCAATATAGTTTTGTGCCCTGAGAAAGGAAGAGGTGCTGTAGCTGCTAAAGCTCTGCGTAGGTCCACAGACTGTTAATCTGGTCTCATCCCCCTCTGTTGTTGTATAACAGCCAAAAATTTCCCAATCTTCTCACTTAACTTGCTTCACATAATCAACTTTAGGACCAGATGTCTGGTCTAAATTAGTCTGGCCTCCCCAGCGTCAGTGTTTGGAGTCTTGTCAGCTTTTAAAATAAAATAAAAAAAAGCCAGAAAAGAAAAAAAAAAACATCTCTTTTTAATTTCATCCTGCATTTGTCATGCTATATTGTCTGGGCCACATGCAATCAGTGACTAAACAGATTAGCTACAGAACAACAAATGTGTGTTCCAGGTACCCAGAAAGGGAAAGTTGGAAATAAAAATAATGACATCATAATCTACGGGCTGATTCGTTTGTTGAAAAATTCAATAAATTAGTCATCAGTTGGACAAGAGTGTTGCAGCCTGAGGATGCCTCGGTGGGGCCGCTTTTGGGGGGAAAAAATTACAGATACAGAAACAAAAACTTGAAAGGGGTCTGAAGGATTTGGGACATGTGGACGTACTGAGCCAAAACAGAGCTGGCAAAAGAGCTGCTTTACTCTTCGCCCTTGGCCTCTTTCCCTTTTCAGTTTACTCCAAGGCAGGCTGCTTACAGCTGTCTCTAAGGAGCCCTAATCAAAAACAAAAAAGGGTAAGGACTCACATTGCACTCATCTCAATGGTCACCCCCATCCCCCCTACGGAATCCTCAAGGCAGAGGTCCACATGGTCTATATCACGCTATGAGCTCACCAGTGGCGAGTCATGGCTTTAGCGCCAAAGAGCCAAACCTAACACATCATTATTGCAGCTCATTGTTCCAAACTGCATCCTTATAGGAGTTACCCACATGTACGTACACTCACAAATAAGACTCAACTAAATACCTAAAAAAATGGCAGCAAAATGAACAGTCATGACAATTTCGTGAGTTATCATGAACATTTATTGGTCATAATGGGAATACAAATGTCGTGCATATTTACAGCATATAAAAAGTTTTATAAACCAAATGGAACAATAACGGCTAACTTACGCTTGACACATGCACAAACACCAATAAAAGGCCGTCTTGGCATTAAGGGGAAGTTGTAATTTGCCATTGGTTGCTTTCAAAAATCAAATGGGAAACTGCTTTCAAACCATAATGGGGCCCCAGAAAAATAATCCATAGCAAAGCAAACACTCACATAGATACAGACACACAAATAACACATTCATAGAAAAACATGAGGTAGTCAAATGGTTAAAAAAAATACAATCAGTAACTAGTAATCCATAACTAATCTATGGATTTATGCTCCAATTTTCAGCTGTTCTGAATTCAGCATTTACTGTCTCTCAGCGAAGCCACATCTTTTACTGCTACAGTAACACGTTTGGTGTGGGACAGCATTATTTCGTATTTATTAAAAACCCGACATTATCCATACCTGTTCATGAGGGGGGGGAAGTTTTGAAGTTTTTCCCAGCTTGCACTGGGGCACAACTCAGGGAGGAATGTTGGTATTTGAAAAGTGACTCTCACAAATTGTATTGAATTGTTAGTTTGAGTGAAAAATATCCCCAAATTATCTCAAATGAGAAGATTAGATCCAGAACATAACTCGAGGCTCGGGCGCTTAACAGCATGAGTGGATGAGGGCGGGTGGGGGGTGAGGGGGATAATTATATGTTTAAAATGGCTTCGCCACACTCGATAAGAGAAACCACAAAAGTACAGGAATGCCAAAAGCGTTAATCCCGCTACGGCTGCTGATTATAGGCTGCGGCACATTTCAACTCTGCAGCGCATGGATCTTTCACTGAGGATGATCACTGTACCCTGCAGTGGGATATTGTTTTTTTTACAATTATGCTAATTGCTAACAGCAACAGTGCTCTGCAAAAGGACTGCTGCATATATGCATAACTTAGCTTTACCAAATAAAGCTTTTAGCTGGATTTTGGCTGTGGACACACACATGGCAGGAAGCCCGATAAAACAAACAAGCTGTGAAGGTTGCTCCAAACCGAGTGTTTCTAATACAGCTTAATAAAAAATATTTCTCGGGTGTTATTGAAAACAGTTGGGTTTCCACTATCAAAATAACTGAAGGTTGATTTTTTTTTTTTCCACTGTTCCATCAGGGGTTTAGGCATGATTTCATATTTTTTTCATTATCTTAAAAGAGGGTATATGTCACTGTTGTGACAACCAAAGAACCAAAACAAGTTGGGTATCTGGGTTTTTTTATATAACAATGGGGAGGACTCCATCCTTTACTAATTTTATGTGGAAAAATATATATTTTTACATCTATAGCTACAGCTTATCTTTAGTGAAATAAACTTTATACTTAAGATGCACAACATCTGATTTCATTACTTCATATCTGACACAATTTATATAAAATAGCGAGAAGCGGCACATGGAAAATTGAACCCAAACACTATCTGACAAAATAATATCATGCTTAAACAAAAGATTTGTATTCCAGATTTGTTTACATATGATAATAATAACAATCTCTTTCTATTGTATTCTTTATGAAGTCAATAAGACACATCATCCCATCAAATAACAGAAAGAATTAAGAAAATAATCATGACATATTTTTTACTTTTTTTTTTTCAAAAATATTAGTCCCTTTCTGACTATAAATACTACTATTTCATTTTCATTAAAGTGTCCTAAAGAATGGTATAACGTTTAAACAAATAGTGTAAATAAATCCTCCCGCAAATGTGTGTTATGTATGAGCAAATCCACAATTCACAGTACGTACACACATAGAAAACAATAAATTTCTTTTAGTTAATATATTCCAAAATATAATTTTATACACAAATATATATATATATATATATATTTATACTCTCTGTAGAAAGCTTTATACATGTTTACATGAGGAGAGAAAAAAATGAAAAGCTTTAAGATGATACACATTCTGGTTACTGCTTACAGAGTTAAATGATAGCAGGGAAAGGGCCCAGTTTGTCCTCCACACACATACAGCAATCATTCATCAACGGTGGAGTAATCGTGGTGCTGCAGTTTGAAGAAGGCAGGAAACTATATGTTGGTAAAAGTCAGCTTCAGCTGCAGCTTGTTCAACACACAGTCAGTGCCGAGATTCATAGAAAAACATCTGGGAAAAGGAAAACCAAACGCTTTATGTTTGATCTCTTAAAAATGACAACAAAAAACTCTCTCATAAGGAGTTCAATGATTCATCAGCCAACTGACAAAGTTAGTCCTCGTGTTATCATGAGAACAAACCAAATCTTTATTTTGCAGCCTTTCAAATGTAAAAATGTTCTGCTTTCACTTTATAACTTTGGTTTTGGGGTTGTTGGTCTGACGGGCAATTGATTATCTAATAATTAAAACTGTGGGATCCAAACCATGATTACCATATAAAACCATGACTGTCAAAACTGTTAACGTAGTTTCTGTTATTATAAAATCTGATTAATGAAGCTCACGCTGATGATCCAGCGAAACTCCAAAGAAGAAAGAAAAAAAAAAACTACTTTGCACACACGAGTAATTACAGTATTATACAAAAATATACAGGCCTTGAACGAGCAAGTCAGCGCTTCGAGAAATACCCTTATTCACTTGCTTAACATGAGTTGCATCAGTATTGAATATAGTGCTGAAAGCAGTGGCGGACTAGCGTAGCTTAGCATACAAACTTCCGGCAGAAAGAATCAGTAATATGCAGCACAAAAAGGCCACGCTTAAAAATGTCCCAAATTTTCATTTTAACTTTTCTGATATTTTTTTTTTATAAAAAGACAAGATCTAAAGTAGCATGTATTTTTAAAAAATCTTTGCTTTACACAAAAGTTGGTGATAAGCTAGGTTTAGCATAAGGAATAGCCTAGCTGCTAGCATCACGGTGTCCAAAGCTTTAGTTTGGTGGGCCTATTTCCAAACTTTTGGACAGAGTATTTAATGTTCACTAATCCACAAACCTAAGGGATAGTTCAGTCCTATAACTGAGCCTGGGCAACATTTTTTTTTTACATAAAATGTAAAATGTTCAATAATATTTCATAAAAGAGATATAAAAATTAAATCACATAAATCAATTTATGGCCATTTTTGTAACTTTAGCATTAAAAAGGTCTCACACATAACAGAGTCAATCACTCCCTGCAATAAGTTCCAAAACAATGCCTGCCCACTGTATAATTTATTTATTATTCATGTCATAATTATAGTCTTGCTGTCACAAATAAATATTGATTCCTAATATTTTGTATTTTATATTCACCATGACTTAAACATACTGAGTGTTTTAGGCCTATTACCCGGAACTAGTCTTCCTAGAAATGACTACCACTCCCCTGAACTACTCATTTCCACCAGGTATGCTAAGCTAGGCCACTCATCAACTGAACAGAGCTCTATAATTCACACACAGACAAAAGAAGTGTCAATCATCTCAAATAAGAATAAGCAAATATTTCTCTTAATGCTGAAGTCTTCCATTAACAACAGCTAGTAAAAGGGAACCCATAATGCCCCTGTGAAGTTGAGTGAAACTAAAACTCAAATCTTTGCCTATACCAAGAGTTACTAAAGCATACTATTAGATCAATATACTTTACCGACCTGTGTGGCTGAATCCATTAAAAAGTACAAACAATTCGAAAACGTGGAATTTTCTCAGCATGTCTTTCACATTTTTCATTCACATTTTTTTGGCATTTACCCTTTTGAATACATTCATACCCAGACTACCTTTTTAAAGCCATAATCTCTGTGTCAAGATGATGACTTGTTCATACTGCACACTTGTCCGCATGAAAATAGTGGTTTATTTGCTTCCTTGCAACTTTCTAGGTTCCACTGTCATAAAACAACGTGCTCCGGCCCAGCCATCAACATCTCACTTACTAATACTGACGTCACTCCAGCCTTATTGTGTTGGCTTGCTCTCTGAGCACACCTGCTTAGCACAACCAGCCCCAATCAAACCATTTAAGGTCAAAACAAAAGGCTGTGTTGTGGTCAGAAAAAAGCAGCATTTGGATTCGAAAGAAATGTCTGGAATAAACTTGCATCTGTTTCTCGGATGAGGCTGCCAAGCTGTGTCTCAGAACTAACACACATCAACATAACCAAGACAGTTCATTTGTCTGCACACACTTAAAGTGGCACCAATTTAGCACAAGGACTTAAGGTGTTATTTTTTCTTTTTTTTGTAATCATGCTTTTTTTTCTGTCCTGTCACGTCCCCAAAAATAATTCCTTTCATGGAAGGAGATAACAAACCGGTCCCTGTGAACCGTCAGAACTTCCTGGCAGTGCATCCTGCTGGGCTACGCGGTGCTGCTGCTGGAACACGGCGTGCTTTGCATGCTGCCGATACTGTGGCCTGTACTGCTGTTCTCCGAGGCAGGCTGGGACTTCTGGACCGGCTGTGTGCCAGCTGTCTCACCTAGATGTAGAGCAGAAGAGGGAGTGTGGCCGCGGGAGAAAGGGGATTGGACCAGAGGGAGAGAGGAAAAATGAGTATAATTTACAAAAAAGCCAACCCTAGGCAAGAACATTACAAAGTGATTTGGTTAAAGCTACAAATTGAACTCCTCTAAGACTGTCGAGCCTCCATTGTTCTTCTGCACACAGAATAAATGGGCTGCATAAAGCTCCTACTGTTTACTATAACTGCCACTTGACATAAAGCTTTCACTGAAGCCCGTATAAAATCTGAGCATTCCTATTTAGATTAATGTACTTTTATCCCTAAGAAAAAATGTGTACTTTTACGTATAAAGAACTCGGGACTTCATCTGCCCTCATTTTTGACCATTTTCAACCATAATCTGCCACAGATTCTGTTTTTAAAAACGAATCCTCTAAAGATGCCACCTCAAAACGACCAGAAACAAATGGTCGCATCCTATCTGACAGATGATATTTTAAACAAAGAGAAGAAGATGTTTCTACGTTCACAGAGTTCATTTCTGTCTGGAACCAATTAGCCTTGCTTTAGCAGATAAAGGCGAACAAACACAACACGGGCCCTGTGACCGGAGCTCAAACCAATGACTGGTTTATTGTTCTATGTCTAAATAAGCGTTTCATTTCGTAAACTCTTGGGATCCAATGGCTAAAATGAAGGGAAAATAGAAGTGCTTGAGTTTGTTTCCAAAAACCGTCTCTGACAGACAATGAACAGCTTCTGAAATAAAGCCAAGTCTGTGTTTAATTTGAGTATTTGGCACAATTATTACTGCAGTGTGTCCCTCGCTTGCTTTATAGCTTATCTGAAATGAAGATAACACATTTTCTCCTGGAGAGAGATTGTTCTATCGATAGTTTAGTTTGTACTAGAGGTCGTGTGTGTTTTATACATATGCTTGCATATATGACAGGCATATGTATCCACAGGCATCCCTTTCCCTCTTTCGGGCCCCACATTTCTCCTAATGTTTACCAGAACAGGGCTGCCAGCAGTCTTTCCCTCACAGGACCAAGAGTGCTGCAAAACAAAGGCACTTGGATTCACCTCATCTGTCAGAGGAAATTTAAATTCCCAAGTCTGATATTATCTTTCTAGATAGGAAAGATAAAGGCTGCTTTTATCTGACCGAAACATAAAGTGAATGAAAACTCTCTATGAAAGTTGTTGTAACAGATGTCTACTTAGGGACAATTTGCCTTAGATTTCAGTTTGGGAAAACACTGACCCCAGTATCTCTTGGATACAAAAATTCAAACATACAATGTCTTTGTAGTGGCTAAGGATACAGTAACAGCATCCAGGACAGAAACCTCTCCACCCAACATCCGCTCTTTGCATGCACCTGCACAGAAAGCACGCTAACACAAAGTTAGCAACGAACCCGGCTTCATGACGCAGTCAGGCTTGTTCTACCCTACTCCTTCTACAGCAGAATCCCTGTGGTGATCTCTGTGAGGTGATCTTTGGGCTGGTTAATATTCAGAATTTCTTTTGGTAGAATTTTCCCAGACCATGACAGCCAGAATCAGCCAAGCATGCTTTTCAAGGGCAGGAGAAACCAGAGCTTCCACATAAAACCCAGTCGTAGGACTGGGAGAACATACAAACTCTACATTAAAAATAACGACATAGCTCTGGCTATAAGACCACGTTGCCATTATAATTTTATAAAGGCTTGTGGAGTAATATTGCAGAAATTTGGACTCTAAAGTGAAATCTAAAAACAACACAAAGCTCTGCAAAATTTTATATATTTACAGCACAACTTTGAGCTAAATCCTAATGTGACAAAGACAATATGGTTATGTTTAACCGTCTCTTACTCACCATATCTGTCCAGCTTTTAAGCATGACGACATTTGGGAATTAGGACTAAACAGAAAGTAAAGCAGGGGCCCATGGCATTAGCGTCGGTCTTGAAAGTAGTAAGTATAAGACACATTCACATTGTGATAAGTAAAAAGTATTTTAATTCATTTTAAGGGGCGTATAAAGTATTTATCATGGAGTTGAGCTCATTTGATACTAATTTATACAAAAGTCAGCCTCAACAAAAATCATGTAATCGTGAAAAAAGTGTTTCAGTAGTGACTCAACAGAATGCCATTGTCATGCTCTGATTGAGCTTAGAAAAGTTGGTGTGGCCGTCTAGGTTTAGGTTAGATAAAACAGTGAGTTTTCGGATTATCTTAGTAACGTATTTAAGATATGAGTGATAGTGGGACAATTTAATATGGCCAGATGAGCTTGTTTAAGCATTTCTGAAATAGCAAGGCTTGTTGTGTGTTCTCACGGTCAGAGGAAGGACAAACAATGACCTGGTGACAGTGTGTGGGATGTACTGGAACAAATTTGATCCGAATGGGTCCAACTTTCAACCTGCAAGTTTTGCTGTGGGTATCAGATTACACGGGACACATTTAAAAGTCCTGCAGCATCCTAGGCCTCCAAGTGACTGGACCTGCTTAGGTAGGAGAGGTCCTAACATTTTGGCTCATCGGTGTCTCACTGAATTTCAGAGCAGATAATGTGTGAAGTTTCTCCTTGTGTCTGGCTGTTTTAACAGTTGGTTTCATTTTGTGGATGAAAACAAAATTCTTGCACAAGGTGACAACAGCTCCAGCAATCTCCAGCAACCTACAAGCCAACTACAATATATGTGCCAAGACAATGAGAAAACTGTCAAAGGTTATAATGTGAGGTTGATGTTAAAGCATTTACGTTGCTGACTGCCTTGTAGGGAAATAAATCGTAATAGATAGAAAAACCCAAAATATAATTCCAAGGACTATATCTAACTGTTTTCTGAGAGGTCCTCAGACCCTGAGGGGATAGACTCAGTTTAGTTTTCTTGTTTCATCATTGGTTTAAAATATGCTCTCAAGTGGTATTTTGAGTGGTTGCTTTGGAGGATATACTTTCTTGGGTTTACATGGGACAGAAAGGGTTGCCATATAAGGTCATTTCAACTAATCCTGCTTAACACACCCATCTAAAAGTGTATTTTAATAATGGAAGGAACTTGTGCCTTAAAGTCATCGCCATGCATGTTTCCTCCTAACTGCTATCTCCACCCCTGTTTTTCATGCGTGTTCACCTTTGATATGTACTGCCAGCCAAATGTAAAGATTTGTCTTTCTTTCTTGGTCACCCACTAGAAAATCCATGAAGCACAAGTGAAGTGGTTTTCTGAAGAGAAGCCAATACCAATATTGTGACAAAGATAAAGGCACTAAACTCTGACAGCTGATCTTTACGTCTAAAAGATATTCAGAAAGAGCTAAACTCTCATTAATGTGACAGAGCATGACTGGAACAGTTTGCAGCACTGTAACCCGACACGTGCCTGTATTGTTGTAACTACCTGGGAGACTGATTTACACTGCCAAACTGTGAGCTCTTAAAAAAACGTTCACTTTACATACCGAATGCTAAAGTGAAACAGCCTAAGTCCTTCTGCAAAACGCACTCAGCTCACAGATAGTCAGTTAAAAACTGAGGCAGAGAAGAACTGGGCAGCTCTATGCAACGGTGAACTCAGTGGGCTGCTGGGAACTCACTTCCTCTCATAGGTCAGTTAGGGTCAGCGGGCTGGGGACGAAGGGGAAGGTCTTGGCATCTAATGGACAGATTGTGTGTCTTTTCCTGTGAGCGCCCACTAAACCCTACAAGGGGAATTTCCAACTCGTCTCCAGCCATTGTACTGGGAATGTACTGAGAAAGACCACCCCATGGCCCCCAAAACATTCAAAGGCAGGAAAGAGAAGAGCTCTTGCTGCTGACCAACAGGATATATTTACAGTAGAGGAGTCAATACGTTATTGTGAGCAGGCCTCTGTCAGCAGCAGGATGTTTGGCAATCACAGCGGCACATTTCTGGCACAGAGACCCTCAGGCATTCCTTTGCATCTTATCTTTTCATTAATGTGGAGAAGTGAGTTGGGGCCACGGAGAGGCAGGTAAAGAACCTACCTGTGTGCGCGTAGATGAACCACAGAGCTGCGGTCAAGAGAGCCCCGATGACAAAGGCTGCAAAGGCGATGCCCACCACCACAGGAGTGTCCAGTACATACACTACTGAACAACAAACCAACACAGAACATGGTTTTAATGTTAAACAAGTGTATTATACATACAAATACAGTACAAATATAAATGACCTAAAATGTGTAAAACAAGAAAACAAATATTAGGAACTGAAATCGTAACTAAGTTCACCTTTTACCCAGTCACACTGCCCTAGCATCTATTGCCTATATTCTTGGACTCTAATAGAGTAGCTATGCATGATTTACAAAAAACAAACAAAAACAACAACAACTATTGCCTGGCCTAGTTAGCTGTGTTATCAGCAAACTACAGATCCATAGTTACTGGTAAATTCTAGTTACCTTCTTCAGTTTGAAAGAAAAAAGTCCAGCAAGCATCACAACTGTTATGGTAAGGACCAATATGAAATAATAAGTGACCTAAGCTGATGATTCCTTATATAGCTTCATTATTTACTGGTTTATCTTATGCAGTTTATTCATTTTTGGGATCCATATAATCCACTTATATACACACGGACATACGCAAAATAAAATGCAATCATATAATACTTACCATCAGGAGAGGGCTTACGTGGCTCTTCTGATAATTCTGATGTAGGATCTGCAAAAACAACATATAATAGTTTAAATATATGTTGACTATTGCGTGTACAGATGTACAGTATACAGTATGAATTATGGTACATTAAAATAGCACAATGCAAGCTCTGAGTCAGCCTGTCAGGAGCAGCAGATTGCTGATACTGCAGTGTGTTGATAAGCAATTCTCTGTGGAATGTGATCCAGAAATCTGAACCAGGAAAACGCTGAAAAAGCAGCTATTCTGTAAGCCGGCAGTGTCCTAACGGATGAACCTTTTAACTCCAACCAATCATGCTCACCCATTTATTTCAAGCCATCTGGAAGGCTTTCAAAAGTGAAATTAGCTATAATAACGTCTTAACAAACAATACAAAGGCGCTTGTGTACGGGCGAACTCAAGAGGCAAACCTGGTATACGTCCAAGCCTGGGGCACAATGGCTGCTATTCTCGGACAGGACACCTTTAAGTTTTCATCTCGGGTAATGGATGATGACAGGTCATCAGAGAAGACTTTAATTTCAGAGGGGACGATGGCCAGAGGACGTCCTCTGTGCCACCCTACTCCCCTTCGGTCTGGAGCTATCTGTCCCGGGTGACTTGTTATGCTAAAAATGTCGAGGCCATGAACACATGCAGCCTCATAAGCAGAAGATAAAGGAGGAATATACAGACTGAACCCAGCAAAGCACAGGAGTGTTTAATGCTCTCGTGTTAACTCGACTCAGAGATCATGTGCAAAGCTGAAAGCTCGGTGCTTTCAAATACTGCCTTGATGTCTATAGGGTACAGTTCTCTGCAGGACATCTGACTGGTCTTGAATGTTGTTTTCTACTTTTAACAGAACCAGACATCTGCTTCAAAGTTGAACTTTTGATTTATGCTAGCTTTATGTTGTTGCCAAACTTGAAACAGCCCTGATATCTCTACGAACATCATTTATTTATGTAAATTTGCCTGATGTGGAAAGAAGCACTCCTGCGTAATGACTTGTTTTTGTTCAACTTTGGCCTTTCGTCATAGAGCTGTCGCTCCAAGACTCTCAACACAGAAGAGTTTCAAACTTATAAACCATGCAAAGGTTGAATTCCGTAGCTCAAAACATATTATTTAACCCAGCTCAGGTCCACAAGGTTACTAGCTCTGCCTAAAGTGTGGTGTACAATCTGCAAGCATATGTCAAAGATTTACTCTCTTCTTTTGTTCATACTCTGCTGAGGCATGAATCCTAACTCATGTTCATCCTTTCTTTTTCAGAACTAAAAAAAATACGTTTTATGATATTTTTAATGATAAAGTGAGCTTCTTGACATCTGGCCAGTGAATACAGCAAACCATATGGAGAGCCTCATTCAGTTGGTTTTAAAATAATAAATGAGATATTTTATGAGAAATCAGTTACTTAGAAAGACAAAGTTATCTAAAGGATGAACGCATTCATATATCAAACACTGCAGTTCAACCTGTTCAGTCCAATGTGATATAAAAAACTATCCTCTGCCTTTACACTTTGCAGACTTTAAACTAAATTAATACTACATGTACTGATGTGATGATATAACCAACACTGCCAGCCTCTCAGATAGATTATACCTTTCAAGTTTTTCTAAACGTTCCTGAACCCATAAAAAAGGGATCAAATTTATTGACGTTGTGAAGCAGTAAATCTAATTTTGATGGTAGAGCTTTGAGGCTGTTATGTTTTTCCATGCACCAAGTTGGCCACAAGTGGCTCCCTTTGATTTGTAGATTGAACTCAGCTTTTTGGGATGTTGTCCAGTGCAGAACCGTGGCCCTTGAAAAGGCTGCTTATTTTGTTTGCCATCCTAGCATAAGCGATGCCTTTGTGTTCTTTGAATTCGAGGGGTTTTTTTTTCCAGTGTGTTTATGGCATAAGTGTGTTTACTTACTCCATGGAAAATAAACCCGCTGCACTGGCATAGTGGTGCAGGCAGTGCACCCTGCCTGTACCACTTTGGACTAGCTTGGCTTAGACACTCAGCCATTACTTCAAATTTCACCGTCTCTGTTCACCAATATCCTCAGCATCAACACTGGCAAGTCTGTGCTAAAAAGTGACTCCATCCATTTAGTATCATTGCCCAGCATTGGAGGCTGATGTCCAATTAAAATGTAATAAAGCCACAAACTTCTGGTTAGAATTATCCTGCACAACTCTGACTCACACTAGAGCTCAGACAAGTAGGAACTTTAAAGCTAGTAAAATTACTGATGTTTAAGAGTAAGACCAGGATCTGAAAAATACCATCAGTGCATACACTGCAACTGGGAGAAATCAATCAATCAATAAATTGTTTGGTCTATGAAGAGCTCATCACAACTGATATTAACATCCGAACAAAATACAGGGTTCAAATCCACAATGGAACACTATTCTGAATAGCACACATATACTGTAGCACAGAGATTGACCAAGCCAATACCAAAACCAAGTTTCGTTAGGTAAAGGAGTAATCAGTCTATTTTCTACCATTGTGAAATAGCGGTTGGGCTGTAGCTTACACCAATTAAAATGATCTAATTTACATCAAATCACAAGCCAACAAACATGACTCAAACTGACCCCAGGTCTCATGTTGATGTCATTGCTCAGAGGGGGATGCTAATATGAAAAATGCTGGCAGTCCGCTAGAGAAAAGGCACTGATTATATCAGTCCATTTAGGTTTAGGTCATAATAAATATCATGTGAAGGCATTACCTCAGGTCTCCATCCTGCCTTCTAAATGTACTTACACCCCCTGAGGTGCTACGATAAAGAGTGTGAACCAACAAGTGACTAAACATCGAGGGACCTTTAGGCTCTGATTGGGCGCTCAAAGCCAACAAGTGGACCACCGCTCCTCATTTTCCCCCTCACTAGTGGAAAGCTGAGGCCACAGTGAAGGGCCTAAGTGAAAACAACTGGATCTTAGTAACGTATGACTGTTCTTTTCCATGTCTCCCTCAGCATGGTCTGGTCCACAGCAGAACTGGGCCTCAGCGTTAGCACACTCCCCTTTATCAGCCATATGCTAGTTTGAACACACACACCCAAAAACACACTCTTGTGTACAGATGTCAATGTAAACGGAGACACACCATATGTGTATGCCTAAGCACCTGTATACACAATCATATACACACAACACAGTTAATAAGGACCAGATGTTGGACCGTGATCCCGTCGTTTGGTCTGATCTCCAAGTATCGACTTTATGCGGTTCCTCTGCCTTCAGAATTGCTTCTTTCACTGTGCATACTCGTATTTGTGGGTGTCACAGTTCCAAGCACAACTGAACTCCTGGTGTAAACAGATGTAAATTATGTTTGCTTTTGCTTTTACTGACCTGGTATGTGGCTCAAGTCATCCACCACAACCAGCGGTTGAGTCGAGACCTTTTTGTTCATCATCATCGCCATGATATTGTCCACAGAGAGAGAATCACAGTTTTCAATGGGTGGCAAACACTGTGCAGAAAATTAAAAAAAAAAAACCTAATTAATAACTTGACATTCATATTTCTCAAACTCAAAAGTGCATTCACTCATATCTGCTCAAAAGTACTAATTTGGAATTCAAAGTAAGGAAAAGCTTGCCATCTTCACCCACTACAGCTGATGGCAACTGTAATATGTTAGCACCACAATCACAAGCCAGCCTCAGGATACTACACACACACACACACACACACACACACACACACACACACACACACACAACCCCGTTCAGCTATCTTAGTGAGGACTTTCATTGACATAATGGTTTCCCTAGCCCCTTACCCTAACCATTAAAAATGATTGCCTAACCCTAACCCTTACAAAAACAAAAAAAACAAAAAGAAAAACATGACTCTATTAGTGGTAGAAATAAGCTTATAATTATTTTTATATCTAAAATATTAAATAATTATATAAAAAATATTATATTCATATCAGATGGATTAGACAGTTTCCTCTTGCACTGAGATTGCAAATAAATGTGTGATTTATAAAAACTAACAAAAAATTATGTGGGAATGTTGAAGACTAACAATTAACCTCACAATTAATTTTAAGAGCACAAAATAAAGCACAATAAGACTCAGTGTTTTGTGGAGGCTAAATCCCCTCCACAATTCTTTGGAGGAATCTGTCTGCCTTTCTGGTTTTAATATAATGTTTTTAGTTTATTTTTAGGATTTTTTTATATATATACCACACTTCCCATTAGCTCAAAAGGTGAATTCTTACACAATAATTTAATCGAAGGACCAGTCAGTCAGATGGGACAAGTACAGTATACGCCAAAGAGGACCGTCGAGGGAAGGAGAAGAGGAGCAGAAAAGTTTATCAGGAGCTTTAAAGGAGAGTATGGATGATCCAGCGGCCCCTAGGACCGTGCACTAAAGCTTTAACAAAAGAGAACTAAATCAAACTCTTTTTCATACCCAACCATAACCTAATTGTAACCCTGACACTAAAACCGCATTTTGAGCCTTCAAACCTGTGAGGACCGGTGAGTGTGTCCTCACAAGTGACTGTTGGTTCTCACAAGTATAGTAGAATGCAGATTTCGGTCCTCACAAAGATAGCTAGACAGGAACACACACACACCTATATATTTATTTTTTTGGGGGGTGGGGGTAACATTTAGGTAAGACTTACAGAAAGTAAAAGAAAGCACTTGCACCAGACAGAACAAATAACAGAGGGAGAAAAAAAAAGATGATTATTTTGCTCAGTGGTCAGCCACTTGGGAAACTGTGCATTGATGCATGGTTCCCGCTTAGGTTTGGGGGCAGACCTGACACTGAATGTTGCAGGTCAGCCGGAGTAAAGATTGTCTCCTACAGGCCCGGCTGCTCAAACAAACACTGGTGATACTCTGGGAGACTAAAAAAAAACACAGCAATGGCTCTTTGGGGAAGATTATTCTGCATACCTGTGGTAAATTTAGATTCCTCTGAGATGACTTTGAGCACAGAGACATCTCACAATGCAGGAAAAGCAGGGACACTTTGAAAGTTGAGTTGAAGATGAAGCTGAAGGTTTTCTTATCCATCTTTGTAGGATGGACAGGGAATTGAGGATAGTATGTGACGGAGGCATCTGTTGGACAAACTGTCTCAATGAGTGTGTACTCTGAGGACACGCTGGGATTGGAGTCATGAGAAATGAAGCACGATATGATGGTGAACCCCAGTTCTGGATCTGATGCAGTTGATGTGATCTGGAGCAGATGAGAGGCAAGTAAAAACAGATTTTTTTTGTCAGTTGTCGTGACAGGAGTCTTCATGAAGTGAAGTGACAAAACTGAACAACAACACAATACTGCTCTGATCTGATGTGAGCTTTACTTTATAATATAATCATTTCTGGAAGAAAACCTAATCTGCTGTTGTCTGAAGAAAGTCTGCAAAGTAATCTTGTTGGACAAAACATGCAAAATGAAAAGGTGTCATTTTGTATTTGTGTTTCTTTAAGACAATCGCAGAAACAATAAATACAAATTATTATTGTGTTTTATTGCCTAGTCCTAAAATTGGGAACAACGATAAACACAAATACAAACAAACATAATTTACAAGATGTTAAAATGCTAATTTAAAGCTGAAACAATCAATATTTTCGTGTTAACACTGGGCAGGACAAAAGGGGCACAGTCATGGTGAGAACCCTCAGCTCTAATGAGCTTCTGGTTTCTTTTAGAGCGTTGTTTTGGTTTTATGCTTCAGCTCACTTTTGCTGTACCAGCAGCTGTTCGGGAAAAATAAAATTCAAATCCTACCTTTTACTAACCACAACAGAAAAAGAAGTTCAAAAGTTAGCAGGCAGCTGGTGGCAACTAAAGTGCCAAATAATTCTGTCAGCAGCAACCCAAAGCTGAGCCAAAATAGACTAAATAAGTCTTCTAATAGAAATATTGTGATGTATTTATTGCTGCCAGTGTAAAGATATGCAAAACAAAACAAGAACGACTGCCTGAAAGGTGAGAAACAAATATTTAGTCATGTTTTACTTATTTCTCAGTTAAAATAAATGCAATGCACTTAAGAGGGAAGGATAAAGACACTCTGTGAGCATTTTGTATTTACAGCACACTGGCTTTGTGTCCATGCTGTGAGTGAAGCATCTCATGCTGATGTCCTCCTACATCACCTCTTCAAAGGACTTTTCAGTCTTTGCTATCTCTTATATGACTAGCATAACTACTGTAGTGAAACAGATATTTTTAGCCAGATGACATGCAGAACTGTGATATAATAAAAGCAAGAAGTGAAAGAAATTATTAGCTTTTTAGCTTGAAACAGTCACAATGCTCTTACTGAGCAAAGGGCTCAGGAAGAGATTAAATCTGGAAAAGCTAAAGCCTCAGATGGAGGCAGATGGTTGCAGTTTTCTGCCAAAAGTTTTCATTTACACCAAACATGTATTCTGGCGTGAGAGGTAATGTATTATAAATGCAAAACATACCTCCACAAACACTTTCTGATTTTGTGAAACGGTGAAGAAATTCTGGCGTGCAGGGTTGTTGATAGGCAGCGAGTCGTACAGCTCCATGTTAAACGTCATGTTGTTGACTGGTTGCCTTGGTGGTTCCTGTGCAATCCTGGGAGCTGAGGTTTCCTGATTCTTAGTTTTGCTTGTGTATGTGCAGTTGAACTGTTTGAAGAATAAGGCAAAGCCAAAACAAATATCAGCAGGACTCTGACGTTACATTCCACGGCTAAGCACTCTCACTCCACATGACTGTGTGTCACTGTTTGACCACATTAAGACGGACCAGGAACAAAAGAGATATGTATAAACAAGAACAATAAGTGGGAGACGAGGACTGGATGAGATAAAGGAAACTAAGCTAACAGAGAAAAGATGGAGAAACTTCAAAATGGAAAATGGAAGGTCAAGTTCATTAAACGGACATCATGGAAAGATGGGGAGATTGCAGCAGCCAGAAGAGTCTTTACTAGCAGCCCAAGGGGCAGTAGGAAACTGGTGTTTCTTCCAACTATGCATGATTTACTGCAGTTGCGCATATAGAGATACAGTTTATCAGTAGTCTCAACTTGTCAACTTTCCCCTTGCAATGAAGTGCAGATCTGACAGAAAAAGGACCACAATGATTCCAGAGTCTTACCAATATGGTAGATGAATCGAACGTTTTCACGGGAAGCATTCTCTCGGGCCCTCTCTGGTCGCTATTCCCATCTTTGGTCTCAGCATGACTTACAGTGACCTGCACATCAAAAAGAAGTTTGTTACTAAGCCTACGCTGACAAACCTGAGCACAACAATCAGCAATTGACGGAAAGTTTACACAAGATTTTTTCCAATTTTTTTCCCCCTTTTCTACTCCTTTAGTATTGCCTCATTCAGGCGGAGATTTGAATTGTTAAGAGAGGTCGGCAAAACATTCTTGCTTAAATCTGGGAATGTCCTGTGGCCTCAGTGAGACAGGACATATTTCTAATTTCTCAGTGGAGTAGTGGCATGTCAGGGCCTGAGATGAGTCTGCTGCTTTAGAGAGAGGACTGTCTCAATGACACTAACAGAGCTGTTTTGAAGTTTGCTGACCTGCCTTTGGTGCCACTGCTGAAATAAATCAACATATCACAGCAATGTGGGGACAACAGCCAAAACACATTAGCTTTGATGAGTGGGAACCCAGACAATGAAAATTAATCTCCTTTGACCGGAGGTCAGAGGTTGTCTGCACGTCCAAATGCTAGCACAAAAGATGACCTTGGACTTATGCCTGGGTTTTTAATCTGCACTGGACAGAAAAAGTGTTTTTTCCAAACTTCCCCGAACAAAAGATTTTAAAAGGCCAGGGTAGAAGTGATTCATGCTTGCTTGTTAGAACAAACATGCTGAATGAATGCATTCCACAATAATGAAGATAACTGGGGATGTCTTAATCACATAAAAGCAAGTGATCACAATTAGATACAAAAATGAGTCAGAAATGTAATCATTTTCCCTGCACATATTGTCCATATTTTTCCAGTTTCCATTTGTACACAAAAAGAGCATGGCTATCAGTGGACATCTTTATTAAAAAAATATTTATTTATGACAGGTGTCAAGCCTCTGAGTGAGCATTTCCCATGACAGTGCTGACATTTAAGCACTGGTCATGGTCAACACCCTAACAACTAATCTAATCAAATTAGCCTTCAAAGCTTTCTGCCAGATCTTTTTTAAAATGTGATTTATTTTCTTTGAAAGAGTATGTGTGTTTGAGTATTTAAGCTCAAATGATGATCTTTTTCTAAACTAATCAAATACATTTATTCTCTGAATGTACTTAAACTGCAAGTGAAAGCTAAAAATACCTTAAAATAAAACAAAAAGGCTTTCTGACAGTGGGTAAATCTTTCCCTGACTTCAGAGTGGCACAGCTCTGTACTGCCCATAGATATCAATGCTTTAACAAGCCCAACATCTTAATATGTTAAACCTAGGCTAACACACATCTATTTGCATGTTAGTCACTCAGGAATTGTTTAGACAAGCAAAGTTTGACTTTGGCACGTGGTTAAAACTGTGTAAAGGGTGTATTTCAACAAAAACTAGTATCTTTTCTAAAGTTTAAACAAGTAGAAAAGAAAGTTTTCTGACTGAAAGCCTTTCTGTTAAAATGTTCTCATTGTCTTCTCATTAAGTTGACAAGTTAAAATAAAGCAAGATAATTATAGGGATTTTTTAGAAAATGAAGAGTGTTTTGTAGTTTATTTCAATTTAAAATTAAATCATATCTTTGTATTTATAGTAGCAACTAGAGGTCTGATATACAGAGAGGGCATTTTCAAGTAATTTCAGCTATACTGTAACACCACATAATATACTCACAGAATTGAAGTAGATCGTGCTATCCTCTATGGTGAATGCGGTGGTCTGACAGCCAGTCAAAGGAGTTTCCAGAGTGTAGTGGGTGGCATTGACTGTTGCTTTGCATTGTGGGTCTTGAAGTGTGAGGCTGGCATTTGTAAACCCGCTTGCCTAAGTTAAGAAAAAAGAAATAAAAAGACAAACATGGATGGAGATCAAAACATTTTTCCGTTATTAACTTTTCAGAATTGTAAAAAGAAAAAAAAAGGAGAAAAAAGTCCAAGTACTTGTGCAAAACCTTGAGTTCTCAGGAATAAACAAATCCCACAAGGTGGTCTAGCTCCAGCTCCCAATTACAGCCTATGCCAGTTTCCATTCTGTGATGTGGGCTGATTGAGCTGTCCCTATGTTCAGACGCCAAATGCTTGAAACAGCCCTGCCTGCTTCAGTGATTTACTTTTTCTCATTTCACTTTTGTAGATCTGAAACTTGCTATCCCCACACAACAGATAGGTGGGCTCAACTGTCTCCATAATTATCCACATGTAACCATTAGACCAAGACAGCATCATTATTTGGTAACAACCTCAGCACACAGTGCGTGCTTTTTGAAAATAAACAACACAGCGTCATGGAGGTTTATGCTAGTATTTTGTAATCGCTGCAGAAGACATTCATTCAGCCTTTTAATTGGTCTAGACGCTGCTAGTCTTTTTGGATGAGCTCCATTTTGTTGTTTTCCGCTCTTCTTGTCACATTTTGTCACACTGACTCTGTGTCGTGTGAAAAGAGACGCAAAAGTAAATCAACAAAATGCCTTTCTCATTGATCAGAAGCATAGAATACATCGATATTTAAAATAACCATTATTTGTAGCCTGTTGGGCTCCGGGCAGAATCAGAGAATGTCCGGTTGTTTACTCACCTGAAGACTTTGTTTGTCAATGCTGACCACCATCCTTTCTTTTTTGCACTGCACACTAAGGTCAACATTCAAAACGATTTCGGGCTCATTGGACTCGTAGGGCAGGTGTCCCAGCGGAGGCATGCCCCCAGTTGTAAGAAATGGAAACGGCAGACCGGATCGTCGCAGTGGCGTTCCATCTACAGGAAGAGGACTAGAATCACGCAGGATGGCGAGTTCGGGAGGTAATTTGCTCTCCAGAGAATCCACGACATCTAGAAGTCACACGTAACCTTATGAGGCTGATTTTCCATCCAGGAAACTACACCTACAACTTTTTACAATTGCACGCTAGTTTTATGCTTCATCATGAATGGAGGATGTGATTCTTCTTCAGCTTACCTGGCTCTCGAAGTCGGATATTGAAGTGGTTTGCCACGGGAGTGCTGGTGTAAGATGTGACTGGATTGTGGCCACGATCACTTGCCCACTGGATTAAGGCTTGTGGCCCTGATGGCAAGTGCTGCATGGGGGATTTGGACACTAGTGCCTGTGAGCCAACAGTCACTGTATCAGAGGCCTGTGGAATAGAACTCTCATTAGATGCTTTCTCAAAATAACAAGAAGAGAAATTTAAGTTAGCCAATACAGAATCTGATTTACAAAAAAAAAAAGAAAAAAAAGAAATATGGTTTACTGTTCAGGTTTTATCACAGATATTCAACTTCAAGTACAGTCCTGCACTTATTCTGCATGAATCATGTGTGAATCATGTGAATGAGTGTGAGGTAATGGGCGTGTCGCAGCTCGATCATTGCTCAGAAACCAACATGTTAGCTTGCTCCTAAAAATTTGCGTCCTGCCCTGCTGCTCCCCCAGTGAGGGAGGCCTCATTCTTTCTCACAACCATTTCCCACACATTCAAGTCTCTTGAGCAACACTGACGAGAACCTGCTTTCTGACAGATCGAGGCCTGAGTTTTATTTTGGCCATCATATCACTAGCGTAGCTGACGATCTCTCACACATTGGTTGCACAAGCAGCGTATCCTGTGTACCGCTGCTGTCAAGTGAAAGTCAAAATGTAAGCAGTGGGGGAGCTAAAAAATGACTGACCTTTTGGATGTTTAAGATAAATGGTTGAGAGATGTCAGCTGTTGTAACCGGTGCAGGTTTACAGTAAGCTAGTGTTACACTCAAAGTCAACCATTTAGACACACATTCACCATGTATGTTACAATCTTGTAAACATCAATTAAAAAGAATAAAAACAACAGTGATGTTAGGTTCTATTTGAACAGTTCAGCGGGACGTAACAATGCTAGAAGATCATAGCAATGTCTGTTGCTGTGTGATGCACCGCTACATGCTAAAGTTAGCAGTTTCACATATGCACAAATGAGAACTTTAACACACTGATCTTTACAAGGTGTAATCTTCCAATCATATTAACATTAAGTTGTTTGCTAATTAGCTCTAAAACAAAATAAAGGAAGGAATTCAGATTTTCCAGAGGCTGCTCTCATTGTGAAGGCGATTCAAATAAACTGCACCTGGGACCACCACATTAAACAATCCAGGGTGTGTACACAGCTATCACACTAGTCAAACGAAGTGGTGTTTGAGGGCCAAACGTGCCGGAGCATGGATCCTCCGGTGAAAATGCATCCCTTAGTTGTTACATTTACAGCCAAATTGATGTTTTTCTTTATGTTTTGTACATCTACTAAACTGCTAGCGAAATATAATCCAATAGATGAACAAAATTTAACTCCGTAAAGTTGTTTTATACACAATGCATGACACTCAATTGTTCTCCCCACTAAGTGTTATGGATTTTTGACCTGGCATTACACCCAAAAACCTGATCGACTCAGTGTATAGCAGGCAGCTGTACAAACATAGCATGCCTGGCAAAAGTGCAGTGTCACTGCTGCAGCAGCGAGTATCAGCATTAGACACTGAGGAAACGCAAGCCCTCTCCCACACACGCAGACAAACACACCTCAGGGAACACAAATATACATGCTAGAAAATGCAAACTTAAGAAAGTGGCATACAAAATAAAAAAAAGGTGTTGGTGATTCTCTTTCAGTTCAACTGGAATTGTTTTTTTTACTCCAGGAAAAGAGGAGCTCTAAATTCCAGCCTTGCAGCAATTGTGGTGGTTGGACCACGGCCAGTTGTGTATCGACATGATCTACAGTTAAACTATTCTTCTAAAGTGTGCATAGGTGTCATATTCTTATGGTTCCCGAGGGTCCTGAGACTTGAGTGGCAGTAATGAAGATTTAATATCAAAACTATATGCTCAAGCACACCGTTGATATGCACAAACCCATATTTCTCAGTAAGGTGTATACTGATATATTGTAGTAATTAGCCTCTGTTTGTCTTTTGTGTGTGGTGAGGAAGCCCGAAAGCCTGAATAAAGCGCTCCGCGTATTTCACATTATGATTGATGGGAAGCAGCTCTGGCCCAATACTGCAGCACGCCTGGCTCTGAAAATATATGATGCCCTCTTCACTCCAGCCTCTGGCTCTCTCAAAGTGATGACAATTCCTGGAGGTGCCACAATGACATTTCACAGTTCCTCCTAACCTGTTATCCCCACCCTGTCCCCCAGCGTGGACCAGGCGCCAGTTCAACACACATTTTTGCTGTGACAACTTCTTTGGCCAGCAGCGTAAAGTGTTGACATTTCTGTCCGCGACACCTACAGTGATATGTGATCAACTATATAAAATCATCCGTGATGCCTGGAGAGCAAAAAAGATATCATTTGATGGAAAGCCTTTGTCTCTTGTAATGCTGCCAACTTACCACCACATCCACATTGCCCGTCACATTGTGGACTTTGACGACCCAGTTCACAGATTTAGCGCATTTGAGCAGCAAGACAACGTCTCGATGTACCCAGGTACCTTCCTTCAGTGGCCGCAGATCAACTATGACATCCACCTGGAAAGCACTGCAGGAAAAAAGGAGAGAGAAAGAACAAATAATAATAGATGGTCAGGTCTACGTAATGTTACTGTGCCTTTGTCTGGCCAACTAATTAAAAAGCTGGAGGTATTCCCAGAAAAAAGAATGCAGACGTATGCAATACATAACAGATAACACCGCAGCAAGATACAACACATTCCCAGATTTTCTGTCTTTTGGGTGTACAGAATAATCACTCCACTGGGGAGTGAGGACATTATCTGGCAAACTGGAACGTTAGACCAAGTTTTGAAATCTCTTCCTCAAAAGAAAACCACTAAGTGAACATAACCCCCCTCCGCCTTCATGTTAGTTCCCATCCAAAATAAACTCCACAGAGATTATTGAGAGCATCCTGACCTCAAAAATAAACCGTGACAACATGTATTCTTGGCCTCTGCAGCCTTGGCTGCTCACCTGCTGGCGTTTGGGGCTTGGAGCTCAATGATGTGGACTTCTTTGTCTTTGTGGGGCACAGAGAGGATGCAGCCTTTTGATGTCTGTGGCTCCTTGTAGCTGCCCAGGTAGTTCAAAGACAGGAACTTGGAATCAATCTTGCAGGTGTCAGAAGACAGTGGATCTGAAAGTGGAGAAAAGTTTGTGTTACTGTTCAGAGGGGCTGTGAAACTATTTTGATCCTGCAAAGGAGAAATATAGCTTCTGGTACTTCTCTACCACAGAGAGGTCAGAGCCTGATGTCAACAACAGAACAGCAACCCCTGCTCTAGTGACGAATTCAACGTCCTGCTCACGAAACCTTCGGAAGACTGAACATTTGCTTTAACCCAGCTGTTCCCATCTACAGCAGAGTTGCTCTTGTAACCCTGCAGCTACTGTTCGCAGCACTAACAAGGCCCTGGGTTGTGCGCCCAACGAGGTTGCCCTGGTTGGCATAATCTGTCTTGCCATCAACAGGGAAATTAGATTTTATGTGGGAAATCTTAGCAAGATGTTTTACCAGAATTCTTTTGCAATAACAGGACAATAATATTCATGCTCAGTCATCAAAACTTCTTGTGTTTTTTCCTTCAATTTCACAACAGTTCAAAAAATTCATTAAGATGAAAAGTTGTGCTCATTCTCAGCACAACGGGAAAACACAGACAGATGCTTCCTTATTTGGCAAACAGAACTTTGGACAGAGTGTAAACTGAAGGCTGGCACCTTCCTCTCCGGAACTCTTGTGGCACTTAAAGAGCTGAGGAGAGACCTTGAGTGTGGGCATGCTAGAAAGCAAAGTGAGGATCTCTCCATCTTCATGAAACACTTCTGAAGATGTGAAGGAGTGGAAATCTACAGCTCTTTACTTGAAGTAAACATCATGGCACTCTGAGGTTTTGCCAAACCACAGCCCCTAATGACACCAGCCAAGAGCGTGAAGGCTGAGCAACCTCTCCGCTCTCCACAGAAACTAACAAAACACAGAGAGAACTTACTTAGTGGAGCCATTAATTTCTTTCTGGACACAAGCTTTGCTCTATATTCATGTAGTAATAGATTCTCATTAAAAACAAGTTATCTCGTCTGAGAGCTGATGAAATGCAGAGTCGGATGTGTTGTCTGTTCACAATGTGAGAGCAGAAAATAAAGAATTGTAATTCTGCATCTTGAACATGTGTGAAAATCAATCATAGCCACCCTGGAGACTCCTTCTGTGCTCTTCACTTGAGAAACCCTCCTCCCTCAACTTATTGAAAAAACCAGAAAGAATTTGTCTAATTCTTTCTAACCTCATCTTTCCCTCCTAACTTTTTTCTTTCCTGGTAAAACTACCACCTATTCCCCCAACTACAGAATATGACACCTTGCACCTTGTTAAAAAATGAAAAGCAGTACTGTGTGTTTGTTTGGCTTCACTATAAAGTCTTCTGGTGTATTAACAGCAAAGTAGCAACTACTTTAGTGTCTGTAAGCCCCAAAATTCAGTAAGTCAAAGTACTAAACTCATCATTTTGGCTTCGTAGTTCAGCTGCCATAACTTTTGTTTTACAGCTACATTTTTCATTTCTTGTCAAACACAAAAACCCTTGCACTGTCGATAACTGCAGAGTTGTTGCTGACAAACGTCTATGTGTGGTTTTTTTTGTTTGCTTGCTCTGATACAAGGATTTTAAGTTTGAAATAAGGATGATAAAAGCGTGACATTTCCAATTTAAATGGGATCATTTTTTTGTCTTGTAGAGAAAGTACTTGCCTATATATATGTTTGTTTTTTTAATGTATTGGCTTTATTCTGAACCCAGTCATTTTTAAAGATGTTACAATGTTACAGAAATACAACCATTTTTGTTCTGGGTTCCAAGAACTCTTGAGGCTGTAAGCAAGCAAAACTTAGGAATACCACAGGCGGCCTGTTAAAAAGTGTGAAAGGGTGACTGTCTTTTGAGGGAAGGAAAATCTTTTTCTAGCGTAGTGCATGTAAACCTCTAGCCTGGGCTAAAACACAAAAGCTAAGTAAAGTTATGAAAGCTAAAGGGGAATGGGGTGGAGGAGTGCCTTGGGGCCCAGAGCTATGTTTGGGAATTTTGGGAATCTGGTGCACACCTTCTCCGACTTTGATGTAGATGTCTTGAGTCATCTTGAGCTCAGAGAAAGAGGTGACTGCCCTGTACTTCTTCTGGGCCCAGTTGAGGAGTTGCTCATTGCCGTGGGGAAAGGTCTCTTGCTGTATGCGGGTGAAGAGGGAGAAGTTTTCCGGCTTAAACCTGACCTGTGAGCCCATAGATACCTGGAGGAGAAGAAAAAAAGCAGGAGTGTAAGGAACAAAGGAACTGTTGGGATAAAACGTTACCTGCTCTATATAACGTGTTTTCTTCAGTTTTTTCAGCTTTCCTCACGTCCAACTCAATTTCAGAGAAAATGTTTTCTGTTAAAAGTGTTTCACTTGTTGAGAATTACATGCACTTCAATGTTGCTCATTCTTATTGCGTCACAAAAATATAAACTGTAAAACACAGCAAAGCACTAACTCTTTAAATACGATTGAACTTCTCACTTTTTTGCAAAGCTTGTACAAGTATGCTCAGGATATTTCTACACATGTTCCTCTACACAACCAGGTGTCTGGTTTCCAGTGTAGTGCGTCATCACAAATGTATAGTTGTGTTTTAAAGTGGCCACAAGGGGCTACAGATATCCCACGAGGGACAACACATATCTTTGACACACACAAACCAAGAAGGCAAGCACATTTACATATTAAAAACAGAAAATACAAACTTTTTCAGGAAAAGACCACCTTTGCAACTTACTGGAATTCAGAGCTTCATTTCAAAGACATAAACATTCACATACATATTTACTGAAAGCCTAACAAACATCCAAATGAATCCTAGCGCACGGTCTAGACAGCCCACCTCCTTGTTTTTCTTTCCTCCAAGGTATATTATCTGTATGCATGAGCTGAGACAGTGCTGGCAGGTGCAATTGAAACAATAAATCCATTTGAATCTGAGAAATAATACGTCAGACCACTTCTCTGTGATGAGTTTATGAAGTTGTCCCTAAATTGCAATCATGCTTCAATGATAACAGAGTAATATCCCTTCTGACTGTTTAGGCTTTTCAGACATAACTTTTCAAATCTCCACATGCACAACATCTGTCTGACCTCTGGACGCTCCTCTCAGTGTTCCTGGCATTGTCACCAGAGGCTGTAAATACTGCTGCCTAGGAGACAGACATTGTCGAAGAATTCAGGTTGACTTTATTTTTAGTGTGTTTACTACAGTAAGAAGCAACAGAAAGAAAGATGGCGAAGATGAGAGGGGTGGTGCGCTAAGCTTCCGGGGAGGGGCCGGGGTATCCTTGCCAAGCTCAGCAGAGTTTATCAGTTTAATTGCGGGAATACGACCATAATTAGTCGCAAAGAATTAGAGGGGAAAGCCTGAAAGCCAAATTAGCTCCAGGCCTTCCAGAGTGCTGGAAACCTCAGGAATTTGAAACGGGGAAGTGAGACACCCACTCTGGGCTTTAACAAACTCTCTCTCTCTGCTCGGCCTCTCTCTGCACGCCTGGTAGACCAAAAAGTGCTGGAAACCAAAGTGTAGTTTCTTAAATGGCATTTATAAATATAAATATACTGTACTGCGTACTGTTTACATAAGCTGTCATTCAGTTCTCTGGTGCTAGTTTCGTTGCTGGTGTACTTAAACAGGGTGCTTTAGTTAATCCATTTTGCTTATTCTCATGTCAGGAAACTCTGGAAAAAGATCTTAAAGATGATTGCATTGTATCCATGTCCTTATAGGGCTGTAGCATGGACTGTATATATTTTGAAACCCAACATCAACAATTTGGCTGCAACCATGTTTGTCTTTTGGAGCCAGAAGTGACCGTATTTGGTCGAGTTGTTGAACTGCTAAGTTATCGGTTAATCCTAGCATGCCTAGTTAGCAAGCTGCTTCTAAAAAGTGTGTAGGTGCAACACAGTGACACATAGGGTTAAATAACCTAAGGCACTAGAATTTCACTCAACAAAACCAAAGCATAAACGTTCTGTGCTACACAGTCTGCCATATTATTTGTTAGATATTTCCATTGAAAATATCCCAAAAGACACAAAAATTGCACAAACTGGTAGGGAGGGCCCCGTTCAGTGACGTAAATTAGTGTAAAGTGGACACTGTAGGAAGTGAGCTTGTGAGGCTTTCGATGTTGGCTTCGTTTTTGGGCTCCAGCGGTTCCCGACTGAGCTGTAGAAAAGAAATACTTGTGAAGTAAAATTGTCTCTACTCTCGGGTGGAGATCTGTTTTAACAAAGTGCTGCCATACTGAGTTCTCTGTAATGGTGTCAGTTATTTTGAAGCTGAGTCACAGTAAATATATTAGACTACCAAGCTGGGGAAGTCAAAATTTGCATGTTTCAACAGAAAGTCTGATGTTTCAGCTTCCAAAATTATTGGATCAGTTCTGGAGGCTACTAATGTACCACTCTTTTTCTGATTATAGTAACATGAGCAAGAAAATCGAAGTTTAAAGACATGACTGCCCTGAATAGAGAGACATTTCTCAAATTTTGCAGTTGTTAGAAATTAACTTTAGACCTCTGGCACTGACATACATGCTTTCATGTTCATAATGGTACTTTTAGTCAACCATGTTACTGAAAGTGGTTACAGTTGGAGAGATTAAATCGTTTTTTTTCTTGTCATTTCTGCTGCCCTCTTAAAAAAGAAACAATCTTATTCTCTATTAGATTTTTACCTGGATAAATAAAGGATTCCAGAAAGCTGATTCTGGTCATCTGGTCATTGCATTTTCAGTGTTTTCAATGAAGGATATATTAAAAATCATGTAAGATAAAAGCACATCTGCCAGTCCTGAAGATCCCAAACATTTAACAGTATATTTCCGGCTCTTTCTGCCTGTATGGATCAACATGTTATGGCCATATGTGGAGCAAAAGGGAGACAGCATGCCAAATGTTTGAGATCAATTATCACGAGCTGCGTTCTCACTGAGCAACACCCTTAGTCTGGGAAATTGCAAAAAGCTGTTTGGAAAATAAGAGGTGTTGCAAACACAGGAGGGTGATGGAAAGTGCAGAATGAGTTGATGGATATTATGAGCATGCAATAACTCTCTGATATTAATGTGATAAATGCTTTGGTGGCTGATTTGATCTTCTCTTACTCAATGAGATACTGGGACCTAATCATGCTGCTCTCTGCAGATGTGTTCCTGTGAACTGGCAGGCTCTGTTGTGGAGAAAACAATACCATATGTCTCAGCGCCACTCTGGAGCGTTCCTCTGCCATTACTGTCTCCAAATAAAAACACTAGTGGCTACCCATGGTTTCCATTGGTGATTACAGTGAGGAGGGAGCTCAAACTATGAGCCTACAAATAATGAAAGAAATACTAGAGTGAAAAGGCAAAGTTTGGCAACCAGGCAGTGGACAACATACATGCCAACAGCTTAAACAGTGTTGTTCCATGAAAAGTCATAAAACATTTGCTCCAGATCAAGCCTTTCAAGCGAAGATGCAACACAGCTCAACCTCAAACCCACAAGAAGAAATATATGCATTTGGCCACAAAGTCAGCAAAGCACACTTTGCAGATGTCTCACTTCCAATCATGGTGTCCCCTTGGTAAAATAAAATTTGGCCTTTATTCAGTGTTCATATTTCATGTCAGTTTAGAAACGCAATGATTCCCACCTACAGGTGATTGACAAAAAGCACTGTGGAAGGCATGTTTTACAACAAAAGTCTGGCATTTTAAAAGCCATCGGAGTCCAGTGGCCAACAGTAACAGTGTGCTCAACATCTCTGAAGCTTTTCCAGGCAGCCCATCTGTGTCCATGGAGCCCTGAGCACAGGGACCAGGAAACAAGGACTGGCAGGTCTGATTCAGAGTCCTGTTAGTCGCAGGAAACAGCCTCTCCAGTGGAAAGGCAAGTGAGGGAGGTCTGGCATAGGGTTTCTATTCTGAAGTGTTAAGTCCAAAACCGACTTAACTTGACTCTTTGCTCTCACTAAAGCAACATCTCAACTCCTTTCTAAAGCAGAAAGAGTGGAAAGTTCCTTAATGTGCTGACCTTTTTTTGCATCAGTGGTCATGGTCAGTTGTCGTTTCATGTGCAGTACCAGAAACGAACCTTTTCTACCTCATTAAAGGCGTGGATGTCAAAGAGCCCTGTGATGAACCTTTCCAGGGTTTACTCCACCTTTTGACAAGTGGTTAGGGAAAAAAAATGGATGAAGGTAAAAGCATAAAGCAGGTCTGACCAAACATCGATTAGAATTAGTTATGACAGTTATTGGAGATGACGAAGATGAATACCAATTAACAGTTAGGAGAAGACTCAAGCAAGATGTTGAGTTGTATTTCAGTTTTGTGGCATGTTAAGGAGGTGTCACTGTGGAGAGAACCTGAGAAGATCCGGGACTTCTTTGGGCAATGTGCAGCAGTCAGGCTGGTGGATAAGATACCAACACTGCCAGAGGGCTCAGTGCTGCCACTCAAACAGAAATACTTAACACCTAATTCAGCAGGGGCCCCTGTAGTCAGTCAAAGCCATTAGTTCGTCCTACAGTGTTTAAATTCCCTTTATCTCTTTTCAGCTCGCTCAAAAGCTGCTATTATGTGTCGGACAAATATTTTACTAAAGTGCAAACAAGAGAAAGCTGACGCCTCGGTTTGGTTGGGTCTAAAATGCTTCAATTTAATGAATACTGTGAATTAAGTCAAAGATGTAAGAATACATTTTATCATTTAAAAAGAAAATTCAATAAAAGATATTGTTAACTGGAGATTAAGCTGAAGTTATTAAAACCTTGCCAACATGGTTACACTCACAGCATTAGCTCTGCCTCGAAGTTTTCTTTAAAATGATGGTTTTCAGCTGCTGTCTGTTCGCCACCACTGACAAGGGAAGATATTTAGTGTGATGCTGACCTGCTGGTCTTTGCAGAAACACTCATCTCACTGGCCACACATTATCAGAGCTTAAGAAAACACAAGCTGGCCAGATGCTCATCCATCTGTATGAAATGCATCCGTTTCTTTCTGACATGAGAACATTTCCATTTGTACAGGAAATGATAATTAAAAGGGCTGTTTAGCACTCAGGCCTAATATCCTAATGTAGTAAATTTCTCTGAAAACTATGATCCCACTCAAGGACAAACAGATCCCATATTGGTTAGTGAATTTTAGGAACTTCAAACATGTCTGTTAATGCTTTATTTAAAAAAAAATAACAGATTTTCTAAATTTCTCTAAGAATAGAAGAAACCTTTCTAGGATACACGATGAGTAAAAACAAAACCTTGTCAGCTAACTATGTAAACACTTTATTGTACAGGAATCACTCTTGATGCAGAGGTGATGAGACCTAATATGACTCTGTGATGAAAGTCCCTGTCACACAAGCCTATAAGGTTTCATAAGATCTAGCAGAGGCCTATTAATACTCAGTGAATTACTGTTCTAAATGTCAACCAGGCTGGGACACACAGAACATTTTATTGGAGTACGTAGTTCTTAAAATTAGATATGGAGAGGTGACAAATTAAAGGAAAAGAAGTTTGTTTCAAGACATGACTGAGCCTTTACGGGAGAACCTCTCTGTTGAAAGTTGTAACATAATACACAAGTGGCATTGTCTCTAAACCAGTTTTCAGTAGTAAGAACACATATGAAGCAGACTATGCTCTGCTGTGTGCTACATGTGAGACAGGGTACTTGAGGACAAGCTAATTCTCCAGATACTGCCCAATGTTCATGAGTGAAGACAGCTTTAGCGAGGTGTTTGGTGTTATGTGCCCTTGGCCCTCTGGTTATCTGTAAATCAGACTCTATAATCCATCCCTCATAATTTGTTCACTCTTTATTTAGATGTCTCTGGTCTGGTCTAATGAGCTGGAAGCCAATAAAAGAGAACAGGAAGCTTGTTCCTTCTCTTTCTTCTTCGTCCGTTTAATTCTGATGTTAGGTTAGATTTTGCGACCATTCCAAGGCTCGTCTCAGTGAATTTGATGCTTTCTGTTGATTTTGGCTGGCTAATCACTTTTTTGTTTGGGAGTAATATTTGATTACGGTTAATATTTTGGGTTTTTTGCTTTTGTTGTTGTTGCTGGATATGTTAAGCATCGTGCATTTGCTTGTGTGTTTTACAGTGGGTTATGTTGGACAACTTTTGTATACACCAAGTGGAGTCTATAAAAGCTGAAATGCATTTAGCATTTAGCAACTGGTTCCTAAGGTTATTACCAGTGTTTTTATGATAGCAGTGGAGAGTGTTTAACATGTCAGACTCAAACATTTCACATAGGTTTTCCACCAGTTTGAGAAATGATAAAAGCAAGATTAACATCATTCTCAAACTTTTGGCAAACTATTCATTGACTGGGGGATTATGATTCTGGAAGATACAACATCTATCAGGATACAAGTCTGCACTGGATAAAAGTGATGACCCACTTTATTGACTTGTAGTGACCCTTTACTGTAACAGGGCCAGTAGACTGAAGCGCTGCCAGCAAAAAGCTCCCAAAGTCACTGGATCCTCTTGCTGTCCTTGTGTTATGCGCCTGTGCGTAACACAAGGCTTTTGCCATTTGTCCGTATTCTCCTCCATATCACATTGGCTTTATGGGAAGATGTTTTGAGCTTAAGAAGTAAGCTTGAAAACTCTCAACCACATATGGAAATAATTTGCGTACCTGATGCTGCATTCTTGCACAATGCTTTGGTGTTAACATAGAAATTGAAAAATGAATACTTCTGGGAAGCCAGCAATACAGAAAAGCCTTCAGCTCACATGAATGCAAAGCGAAGTTTTCATAGTTATATAGCACAGTGAAGCCACAGCTACAACAGAGACCACAGCTACAGCGGAGGCTTCTGGGTTTCATTTCGCACTGATTTTCTCATGTGATACACGGGCTTTGAACAAGAGCACTGAAGCAGTGCATTTTTACATTTTTATTAAGTTTCCCAGAGAGGCCCCCTGGTACCTTCACTAAATATGGCTGACTCCCCAGGGGACCTGGCTCCAACTTCACTAAGATACCCTTCACTAAATCTTTGCCTCTTCCACCCGAGTCCTAAGAAAAACTTCAGTCTGCAAAGCAAGAGGAAGAGATCTTGTAACAAATAAAAGTTACATTTGTAGAAAGAAAAACACAGGATTTATCAATATTATATACTTGCTTGCAAACCAACTTGTACGACAATTTCAACAAAATCAGTAGACGAAAGGATAAAGTTGGTGAAGCTTTAGTGCTACAGTTTTTGGTACCACACCTTCACCGCTGAGGGGTTTTTTGTGATACATGGATACACCCAGTGTCATATGAACAGCAGCCAAGCTATCAACAGGACTGTGTAAAGAAGGGTGGGGGACACGACTCGGTGGATGTCGAGCATGAATAAAGCTGACGAAGCAGATTGTGTTAGATAAATACATTTTGGCCCATTTATGAGCGTAAAAACAACCTCTTACATCTGCATCCTGTATAAGATAATGTGAGTCAAACTTCCGCTAAATACTTCCAAAATTATATTACGACTAAAGAATCCACTGCACCAGATGAAACATTATGCACGGCTCTACACAAGCTATGACTGCACATGCGCGTTGACCAGATGTGCCCCCAAAACATTGGAAACCTCCCTTTGAAGTGCAGAACGGCCTCCTCCGCAAATTTACATCGCTTCAAATATGTTACTCATAGAAAAGGCTACTGAAACGGTAATGCGGTTTAGCCTGTGAGGAAATGAATACACAGTTTTAGGAAGCAGGACTTAAAGGATTTTTTGTGTTCTGGACTCACATAAAAGGTATGTTGGATGCGCAGAGCCAGGTTCTCTGTTTTGACATTCCAGATCAATGGTTGGGGGGAGCTGAGCACGAAGACCAGGGGCTTCTGGTGGTGCAGCATTGACTGGATGGGCTTCAGATGTAAGTCAACCTGGCAAGAGCAAAAAAAAAGGGAGGGGAAAAGGGGAAAAAGAAAGAGAGAAATTAGCGCCCTGTTACCACAAGTATATTGAGGAAGTGAGAAGAGTAAAAAACACAAATCCTACGAGATCAGTCAGAGTACATAACATGATCTGATTTCACACAGCTGAACTGGGCAAATGTCAAAGCTTTGATATTCTCATGTTCCGTTTTGTATAAGCATTAATATCAGGCAACTGCTACTAGTCTGGTGAAAATCCAGCTCTGTTATGATGTAAATTGTTCTACGTTATCTAGCTTTGTGGTTGTTTATGTACTCACTTTGCTGATAAACTTACAAAGATGGCGTGCTGTGTTCTCCCTAAAAGGCACTTGCTTAGCTCTGATATGTATCCTCAGAGGGCTCTTAACTTTCACACAGTGGAGTCTTTGTTCACGGGGGAAAAAATAGTAAGTGGCGGGTCCCTGTAACCATCTCTACAGCTTGCAACTATGCCTTTTTTTCAGACTCCCATTAAAATAGATTTTCACAGTCTGTTAGTGAGATGGCGAAAACAAACGTGTGTGTTTTGGGACCTTAACTGATGTTTCTCGTTTCTAGTGTTAGCCTTCACTTACGCCAAAGTGAGTCAGGTGGTTCAAAGTGCGAGACTTAACCCAAAATCATCTCAGGCAAGGGTCTGGCTTTCCATCATTTTCTTTAAATTGTACTCAAACTGAAAAACACCAACTTACTAACAAACTGTTAAAATTCTCTATTGTTGTCACTGATGAGAACTGACACTCTCGGGGGGTTCAGAGGTCTGTCTGACACTCATCTTTAAACTTCCTCCTCTCTGTATTCACAGACTAATCAAATCAGCTCCATTCTGTGTGTCAGCAGTAAAAAGCTGTAAATCACTAACTGAACCCACAAGGACTCATATTTTAGGATCTAAACAACACCACAGTAAGTTAATTATTCACAGCTCAGCACAAGATCAGCTTTTGCTTTTGAACTCAAAATATAGCTTTTGTACTTCAATAACAGAACAAATGAGCTGAAAACAGAGTGATGGTGATTAAAAAGCAAGTTGACAGGTTATTATTAGCAGTGCTTGAATTAGTGAAAAACAGGCTGAGCATTAAGTTGCTCAGATGTGGTTATGGAGTGCGTATTATCGAGACAGAGATCTACACGCTATAATTGAAACCGTTAACATTTTCTGCTACACTCATATGTTTTCAGTCACTACAAAACGTATTTGCAAACACTGCAGTACTCATTTAGATGGATTTATTAATGGAAAAAGTAAACAGTTTGTTATAGGTTCTGAACCAGACTAAATACTGAACCGAGTACAATATCCTTTATCCCTTTAATATTGTTTTACATTTGCTCTTGCCAAGTTGATATTTTACGGTCCATGCTTATTCCCGGGGTGTCAAACACTGGAGTTTTGTCAAAACTGCTGGCCTTTATGGCACATCTGCGACACATCTTCCCTTCCAGCTTGTCGTTTCAAAGCTCAGTACTGGTAAAAGCGCCTCCGTGCCACATTTAAGCCTAATTTTTCAACATGCAGCCTCAACCAAGCTGGTTTTAGCACGGTTTTAGCGACCAAGTAGCATTGTGTGCCTTCACCTAACCAGCAAGAAGAAGCAAAGTAAAAAAAAACAAATAAATTTCTGCTATCACATTTTCAGACCTGCTCTATCATAAATAGAGCAGAACATCAATGGTAGGTAAAGTAATTTATCAGCAGTAACTGTTGACTATGCTGTATGCTGTCATAAATTTGGGGTGGTCGAGTAGGTTGTGATATGAAGCATTGAGCAGGTTGTTTTCTTGGCCCACCCCTACAGCATTATCCTCCTCTCTGACTCCCTAAGTGGCCACTGATTCACAAAAAGAACATCACGTTGTATTCAATAATATTCAGACTAAGCTTACAGATTTCAAGCACTAAAGGGATGGTTTCCAAGGAACTTACATACAACTACATTTAAATACAGTCATTGGAGCTTGAAAAACAAGCTACAGCAACTGTGCAATATATGAAAACACTTTTCACTTTTGAATGTCTTAATATATGCAAAACTTCTGTATTATTAAATTAAAAGCTTGATTTGGTAATTTTTTTACAGTGAAACTGGAAGTGTTTGCCGAGGAAACATTACAGGAATCTTGGGAAAGCATAAACAAGAAGCAACCGCACCATTTTATCGGAATACTTTCACACACAAACAAGATAAGACTGTGATCGCACTCGAAGCACATCCTCAAAGCCAACTTCGAGGAAGAGTCCCCCAAGGTGCCAAAAACATACAAAGATTTACAATTTATTTCAACGAGTAAAGATTTGTTTTTCAATGTGCTTCCTCATGTTGGACAAAGCTGCCACTTATACCAAAGGTTGACTTTTGTTTCATTATCATGTAGACTATAATAACTGTGCCAAATGATATCTTCTTTATCGAGAAGTATGCAGTTAATGAACAGGCTTTTTTTTTTTTGGCATTTCTCTTTTTTCTGTTTCCATTTGATCCATTTGTCACTAAAACAAGAATTCATTGTAATCTGATGTATTTTTGAAGCCATGCAGCATTCTAGACTAACATATACCTCAGCACAGAAGGAAAGTCTGACTGTCATTTTCTGAAGTACAACGATGTGTCACTGTGATGATTCATGAAGTCATTTAACAAGAGATACTAGCAGAACAAACAGAGTCAGCATCAAAGTCCAATTATCATTCCTCAACAGATGTAAGCCCTCAAGGAGAGTAATGCAAACCAGAATGTTCAGTTATGTGGTCCATGAAAGTGTTGCAAAAATCGTTAAAACGTCCCTATGAGACAAGGAAATGGAAGAAATTACTAAACACTTATCTATGAGGCAATCTGGATGGTGATCCAAATAAACAGATCAGAGATTCATCGCTCTCTCTGTCTCACTATTTTTCCCCTTTTTTTCATATTTGCTCCCCCCCACACTTAATCCAGACACTGGAAAAAGCGACTGTATTGCTCCTTTGAGGATAACAACAACCAAGATATAATCATACCTGGCTTGGCTCTAAGAGCCTGGCTTCAATAGATGGAAGAAGGAGGTAGAAAGAAAACGAGAGTCGGGGAGAGTTGTAAAAGATGAGGAATTTTAACCCAGACAGAAACTTTTCCAGAAGACGTGAGTCACCTGCAAACGCAGGCATAAACAGAGCTCCAAGAAGAGGAAGTGCCAAGAGGCGCTAAGGGGTCGGAAAGGGTGAAAACTGTGGTGATTATTATCTTTTTTTTTTCCAAGTTTAATGAGAAAACAGCATTAATAAAAATCTAAACCCTTTCTGGGTTGCACAATGTAAGCAATGATGAGGACTCAGCAGCAGCTGGTGTGCATCTCTGCCCACAGAGTTGTGTTCGTGAGGTCTGGTAAGGCTAGTGGGCATAGCAACAGACCTTGTCAAGCAGCCAGGGTGTGGAAAGAAGAGGTGCAAAAGCACCAGGCATCAAAGTACCTCTTGTGGTGTTTGTAAGGATCAGGTTGCGCTGAGTTGTCCTTGATGGAGGCAGCTACCTTCGGAGAACCCTGCAGGGTGTGCTCGGGACAGGAGGCCACGGCACGGCTGATTGATTATCAGGAGCCTGGCACAAGGATTTAGGGGTGCAGGGTCCATTACAGTTAAGGGGGGCATTTGCCAGCAGCCACGGATGGAGGCTTGTCTCGGACTATCACGTTACTGAAATTAAACTCCACACAAGGGACGACAGCTGTAGCAGGATAAGCCGTCACGCAGCATACCATTAGTGGTGGTAGCATGTGTAAACAATGGAAATGTGAGGAAAAAAACAACACAGCATCAACTTTAAGCTCTAAATCAGCTCCAACAACAAACACAGTGCCAACTACAACAAAACCGAAAAAAAACAAAACACAAATCACAGACAAGCTTTTGTTGTATAGCAAAGCCACATGGTTAGATTTAGATCCTACTGATGCCTGTGACACTGAAACGGTAAAGGGTGATTTGTTTGTCCTGCTTTGAGCATGCATTTGCAATTCCAGGACCTTTCAAGCCAACTTAATTACACAATGTTTCAAGAGTGCTTTATAAAGGCTGTTCATCAACATTGTAATGAAATACTTTCACCATCAAATATTTTGCATAGCCGTGTAAACCTGCACCCTGCAGTTAGAGCACACTATCACTGCGGCTCAGTGTCCTTGCAGGAAAAGGGAGTTTCCTTTATTGACAGAGCTAATTAAATGCCTGATGAACCCTAGTGATTCTGAAAAAAACCCAAAACATCCTTTAATTATCTGAAAAGTAAGACTAATCTGGGAACACACTCTCCCACCCAGGAAATAATAATCAGCTTCAGAAAAACAGAAAGAAAGCACAGCATGTATCACATGACATGAACCATCATCACTAAAATCCAAGAGTATATACAAAAAAAACAACAACAACGACATACACAAACTGTGGCTAAACCCCATACCACAACATTTTTATAGTTGAAAACATAGACAACAAACTCCGAGAACTGCCTGGAACCAATCATACTGTGTTATCTGATGTGTGCGTATGTGCGTGTGTCTTGTCAGTCTGGATCTTGGTTCTTTCCGGATCACTGAGGGTGTACAGAGAGATGGGAAGCTCAGGCAAAGAAGCTCAGAGATAAAGGAGAAGCGGACCAAAACCTGTTGACCGCTCTTATCAGCGCCACCCACATATTTGAGAGAGATGGTGATGCTACCTGGAGCCTTCCTCCTAAATGTGATGATAATCAGTCTGTACTCAGCTAAATGCAAAGCTCCAAAGAGGGAAAAAAAAACCCTGAAAAGACGCTGAAGTGAGACAGGACGCCTGGATAGCAATCTTTTAGTGATATGACACAAAAGCAGGACATGTTGAAGTAAATAACACAGCACTGAAGGTGGGGAGAGGGGAGCACTGGGTCAGGAAGAAAAAAACACTAGATTAGAGATGCAGTGAAATCAAAAGCATATTTAGCTGTATATCGCGT